TTATATGTGAAATCTAAAATGCCCAAACTCATAGAAACAGAAAACAGATTGGTGGTAGCCAGGGCCAGAGGTAGTAGGTAAGGAAAATGTGTGAATGTGGTCAAAAAGTACAAACTTCCAGTTATAAGATAAATAAGTTTGGGGAGTATAACATATGGCTTAGTTACTATAATTATCAATAATGTATTATAAATTTTAAACTCTCTATGAGAGTGGGTCTCAAAAGTTCTCATCACAAGAAAAAATTGTGATTATGTTATTGATATTAACTAAATTTTTGTTGTAATCATTTCACAATATATACATCTATCAAATCATTATGTTGTATACCTTAAATTTATGCACTGTTATATGTCAATTTTATCTCAATAAACCTGGAAAACAATAAAAATACAAGCTTTCCAGGTAACTTTCAATTCAGTTAAGATTGAGAGCAAAATTCATTGTCTGTGACCACTTCATCCTGCTTCATTGCTCTCCAAAGCATTTGGCTTTATGTTTTACATATCTATATTATTTTATATTTATTCATTTCTGTACTTATTTTCTATTCCTGCCCCATGGAATACATAATACCTGAAGGAGAACGCTTATCTCTTTGCTCATTTCCTTGTCCCTAGTGACAATGACAGTGAATGGCATAGTACATACTCAATAAATATTTGTTGAATGAATGAATGAGAAAATAAATATAATAGATGTTAATCAATATTTGATGAATAAAGAAGTGAATAAATGAATTTCCCTCTTGTCATTCAATAACTAACTCATACTACTTCCTCTGTAAACCTTCTCAGGTTCTGCTATTTAAAATCAATCTCTTTCTGTACTACTATTCTTTATCACTATTTTTTTCTTCTAGATGTGATTTAATCAATACTATTGCTTTCACAATATCTATCGTGTGTTTTACAAAGTAGTCAATACGTAGTTTTGAATTTAATTACACGTTATATTTAACTTACTGTATCTCCCAAAATGAGTTTAAAATTAAAGTTAAATGTTAATGTAGTTCTAACATTTACAGATAATGCTAGAGATAACACAGGGTCAAAAATATTTTCATGCTACATTGGACTAAATTATAATGAGTATACCAGGGAAATCTAACATGTCTTAAGACATGTTAAGACCTTGTATGTAATACATCTTAAGAAAAACAAAATCTTTGAAAAAAAGAAGATTTATGTTATTATATAATGTGATATTATTGGATTCCTGAACAGGATTGATGATACTTCTTTAACAGCTGTGTTGCTTTATTTCAGAGAAAATGCAGGACTCTCAAGAACCTTGGGTGACAGAGCCATAGAGTCATAGAAGCATAGGTCTTATAATAACCAAATGACTGTGTGAAAAATCACTCAATCTTAATCTATCCCAGTCTCCTGAAAGGTTTGTCTCGTGGGATTCTGGGTAGAATAATATAAATTAATGCATGGGTATAAAAATGTGTGTAATCACTAAGGTGATGTGTCTGAAGTATTAATAAAATGGTGAAATTAAAAATAAGGATGTGTTTTATATCTTTGGAAATGTGTTTATGATTTTTTTAGATATGGCTTCAAGAATATTTATAGGGCTTAATATCAATATCTAAAAGTAACACATATTACACATGGTACTGAACAAGTAATAGGTAATATCTAATGTTATTCTCTGAGTCTTGTGATATAGGTAGTATTATAGTTATTAAAATTGTAGATCACATTTTATAGAAAATGAAACTGACGTTTAGGAAGCTGACTTTAGGAAACAAAGTCAATCAGCTGGGATTTTATTCCGGATCTGCCTAGCAAATCTGTACATACTGCCACAGGCAAAACCCAAAGGAAAGATTAGTAGTGAAACGTTAAAAGAGTGTTCTCTGGTATTTGATGGTACTGTTTTAATAAGAACACTTTCAACTGGCATATGCTTTACAAAAATACTTTACCTCTAAAGTGATAAACTAGAGGAAGTCATCATAAATATCAGTATTATAAAATACAAAAATACTCAATAATTGTGAATGACTTGTTTATTCATTGTGAGTCATCTCAGGTATTCTATTTTATTAGATAAATTTATACAAATTATGTTCTACACTGTCCCATAGTCAGATTTTCATAGCAAAAATCGACAAACTAAAACAATTTTGATTCATTAACAGTCTCCTAGTTTCCTCTCACCCATTTGTACAGGCTGAGCTCTTGAAGAGGGCCTGGTGAAGTTAGGAGTCATCCTCCTGGTGGGGATTTCCAGGCACAGTGACCTGTGGTGATGATTCAGTTAAAAGCAGCTTGATAATTTATCTACTAAAGACTCTGTCAGGTTAAGTAATGTTTAATGCAATTTTACATTTATCTATGCCAAAGTAGTCCTCATAAAGTTCAGTATGACCTTTTTTTGTAAATTACCTTTAATTGGGGTGAGGAACCACATGGATAATATTAATGCCTTCATTACACCCTTGTGTTCTACAAAATCAGATTTTTCAGAGAAAAATACAGCATGCTTTCTATTGTGTTATATATTTTGTATAACAAAAATGTTTTATTTATAAAAAACCAATGATAACTATTATATGAAATAAATAAAAATTTAAAGCACAGATTAATTTAAAGTAATATTCTTATCGATTTAACCTAATCTTTCAGATAGCCTAAGGTTTTTGCTGTGTTAGGAGAGTCTAAATCTTCTGAGCAAGAAACCTTCCCTAGGCAACCACTGCTGTAGGATACCAACCCATTTTGTATCTAGAACATTTAGGACAGCTTTGCTCTTTCCTTCTTTCCTTATCAGCCACATGGCTCTGAGCAAGAACATATTCTCTATTCAGCATAAACATATAGTGGTGTACCTAGCATCTCTTTACCATGAGCATCATATTTCTCTCCCACAACCCTGCTCTAGTCCCACTGAGAGCTGCTAGTGGCCCTCTTGAGATAATGTAGAGAGAGACTGTTTGAAAATGAAACTCTAAGTGGAAAGCAGAACCCAGATATACAGGAGACTGGAGATATATATATATATATATTTTTTTTTAATTTTTCAAATGTAAGCTGTGTTTGTCACTGTTAAAAGGAAGAATTCTAAGGAGTACATTTTCTTAACTTTCTTCATAAGCTACAAATTTCTCTTTGAATCCTATCATTCTGTCTTAAAACAGAGAAAGAGTGGAAGAGTTGAAAGATCACACTGTTCTGAGGGTGAGCCCACTCTAGATTATTTTCTACTCCTAGGTTTTCCTGTTAGCTAATCTGGGTTGTTAGAATATATCGATGACCCAAAGATGTGTTATAGATGTGCCTGTATACTGCTTCTTCCAGCCTGGGTACAACTGGTTGGACCATGGAGCTCCTCTGGAGGCGTCCCAGCCCTTTATCCAAGTGTGCCATATTAATACGGTAACTTCCCTTGTGGGGGATAATGTGAAAAAAAGGTTGCGCATATTGAGCTAGGCCTTATGTCATTCCTAACTTACTTAGAAGGCTGAACAAATTTTACAAATTAAACACAGGTTCCTGGAGATTCTGATTCAGTAGGTCTGCAGTTGGATAATCTCTATTTCAGAAGAGCTCCCCAGATGATTCTGATTATCTTTCAAGTTTAAGAAACATTACACTAAATAACCCTTCCAAATCATGAAATTCAATTTCTCTAAGCCTGTTTCCATTCTGTTATGGGGTTACACCACATGAGAACATTACCTTTTAGAAATAGTTTATTAGAAATTGACAAGGTTGTTAAGAAGTTTTCACGGTGATTCCTCCATAGGAAGAGCATCCCTGGTGGTCGTGCTTAAATGTGACTATTAGGGACAACATTGTACCTGCAGGGATACCTGCGTGCATTACAAGAAACATGGAGCAGTGAATGGCTTCCCACATGGCCTCACTTAATGCCCTTTCAATTTTTACTTGGAAACCTCAGGAAAAAGCATTCCAGGTATAGCACTTTTTTGTCAAATCACAGAGACAGAGTTGATTATAATTTGCTGACAAATAAATTCTTTAAGAGTTCCAGGTTTTACTAAAAAATAAAAAGTAACTCTGAAAAAAATATTAATTTCTTTTCCTGTGTGAAAACCTTGATCAATCTCTGAGATCAAGAAAAACTTGTCAGTGTTGAAGAGACGGATTCAGGCTGACACATGGAATGTACAATGGCAAGCAGCCTGAATGAAAGATAGCCAACTTGGCAAGAGAATTAGTGTGATGCAAAAGAAACACCAAGGCCTTAGGGATGCTTTCTTTCTTGGAATATCTTTCTTTTGTCAAAATGATGCTGCGTACTCCTAATTAAACACTGGCAAACACGGTTATCCAAGGCAACATGGTATTTGAATGAGGTTACAAGCAACATCAAATTGTTATCTTTTATGTAAACTTCAAGTTATCAGATTCAAGTGAAAATAATTTAGTTACACTAAGTACAGGTCAAAATATAACACTGATGAGAGATAATTAATTTCATACAGCAAATACTTCAGAAGATGTCAAAGTGTTTTTGTACTCTATAAAAAAGTCAGTAATTATTGGTGTTTTTAATGCCTATGTTAATCGTTAATTGGAATCACACAGTTGAACATAATGTTATTAATTGCTAGATGTTTAATGCAATATTAACAGAACACAAGTTACTTCATTGTGCATATTCTGCATATTAAATTTATGAGGTTATTAGTAGGTTGAAAAGCTTAATATGTCATGACTACAGCCATGGTCAAGATCTTAGTCATTTAGTGATGTTTGATTTATTGGGTTAGAAGAAATGATGATGCTACTCAAATAAATAACTGTGTAAATGACATGCTTTCTTCTATAATAGCAAATAAAACCATACTTAAAATGCTGAAAAATCTGTCATCAAAAAGCAGAAGCAGGGCTTCCCTGGTGGCGCAGTGGTTGAGAGTCCACCTGCCGATGCAGGGGAGGCGGGTTCGTGCCCCAGTCCGGGAAATCCCACATGCTGCGGAGCGGCTGGGCCCATGAGCCATGGCCGCTGAGCCTGCGCGTCCAGAGCCTGTGCTCCGCAACGGGAGAGGCCACAACAGTGAGAGGCCTGCATACCGCAAAAAAAAAAAAAAAAAAAAAAGCAGAAGCATACAAATAATGAATTCCAAACTTCAGAATATATTAAAAATAGGTGTAAAGAAAGGAGATGAAAATATAAAAAATTAGTCTTGAGGCTAAAAATAAATTTTTTTACTATATAACCAATATTTTTAATTTTGAAAATTTACAGAACATAAAAATTGAAATGTACAGACAATCTGGTAGGTACTATATGACAAAGTTAGAATCCAGATAATATTTAACTGCTTAAAAGGCTCTTATCAACTAGACATCACCTTAACTAGTTGATTGATTTAACATCAACAATGATGGGTTATGCTGACATCGTGTGTTACTTGAATTAATGTGCTAAGAAAGATGTAATATCACTTTGGCAGTTTCTTGCCAAAAAGGTTTAACCTGATTCTAATCATAAGGAAAAATCAGACAAATCCAGACAACAAAAAAAATGGTCTAGAGAGATTTGAGAAGATGGCGGAAGAGTAAGATGCGGAGATTACCTTCCTCCCCACAGATACACCAGAAATACATCTACACGTGGAACTGCTCCTATAGAACACCCACTGATCACTGGCATAAGACCTCAGACCTTCCAAAAGGCAAGAAACTCCCCACATCCCAGGGTAGGGCAAAAGAAAAAAGAAAAAACAGAGACAAAAGAATAGGGACGGGACCCGCACCAGTGGGAGGGAGCTGTGAAAGAGGAAACTTCTCCACACACTAGGAAGCCCCTTCGCGGGTGGAGACTGCGGGTGGCGGAGGGGGAAAGCTTCGGAGCCGCAGAGGAGAGCGCAGCCACAGGGGTGTGGAAGGCAAAGCGGAGAGATTCCCGCACAGAGGATCCGTGCCGACCAGCACTCACCAGCCCGAGAGGCTTGTCTGCTCACCCGCCGGGGTGGGCGGGGCTGGGAGCTGAGGCTCGGGCTTCAGTCGGAGCGCAGGGAGAGGACTGGGGTTGGTGGCGTGAACACAGCCTGATGGGGGCCAGTGAGCCACGGCTACCCGGGAGGGAGTCCAGGAAAAAGTCTGGAGCTGCCGAAGAGGCAAGAGACTTTTTCTTACCTCTTTTGTTTCCTGGTGCGCGAGGAGAGGGGATTCAGAGCACCGCCTAAA